AATGTCAGCTGCCGAAAGGAGCTGAGGGTGAAGCCCTTGGTCTCTTTCTAGGCTTAGGCAGGCGAGATGTCACACCATCCCCAAAGTCTCCAGCAGCCATCGGAGGTCTGTAGCCAGGACCTTCCCAGCAAAAGGCCGCTGGCAAGGACAGAAGCAATTTTTCTCCTGCCTAGACTGTGCCGCGCCTGAGACAAGCAGCCCTGAGCACCTGAACCCTCAGGACAGGAGAAGTGGTGGGAGCTGCCAGCAAGAGGCAGTGGGGTGAAAAGGAAGAAACCTCAGTTATCTGTGAGGGCTGGGCAGCTCAGGGATGCACAGCAGTCTGAAAATTCAGCCACGACCTCACTGTTTGAGGCCGAAGTCTCCTGGCGAGGAGCAAAAACAGAGGGTACAGCCAACCAGTCCCTCTCTCCTGTCCTCCTGACATACAGACAAATTTAGTCTCTTCTTCTGTCACCCCTGACATGGCAAGGAGCAAACAAACAGCATCAAACAGTAGCTTAAAATTAATTTATTTTACAAATATAGCTATAATATAAATGATAATAAAATTTCAAATATACAGTATATTACATAGTACACAGAGCTCCTTCCAAAGGAGCTGGTGGAGGAAGAAACACAGGTAACAGGCAGTGCTGTTACACAGGGACGGGAAAAGCTGCTCTACACTTCTGCCTCTTGACCTTTCCTTGCAGAAATTAAGAGAAACGTCCTTTCAGCCCCCTTTTTGCCATTTCTCTTCCACAGTTCCTTCCCCCACAGCAGGGAGCCCTCCCCAGGCTGCCAGCCGGACTCAGGGAAACGGGGCAGGGCTGGCCCATTGCTGTCCTGTGTCAGGGAGGAGCTCAGGTGACGCCTCAGGTCTCTGCCAGCTGCAGAGCTGAGCAGCTCCCAGGACTGCTGAGAAGAGTAGAACAGTGCTGGACCAGGTCATCAGCATCACTGGGGGAAATAGAGAGACTAAGCAGAGCCAAACTGGAGAAGTGTACACCACTGGGCCCATAGGGAAGTCCACAGTGAGGAGCCAGAGGAGCTGGGAGGGAGTTCGTGCAGAGCTGGCTGGAGCAGACAGCTGGCAGGCTGGGCTTAGGTCTATGTGAGGTGGTACATGCTGTATCCCACATGTGCTGTGTACAGTCCCACAGGAGTCACGGGCAGCCCTGCACGCTGGAAAGGGCTGGAGGCACCATATAAAGAGGCGCCGGCCACAGCCGGGCCGCCCAGTGGGAAGGAGATGCCGAAAGCAGCGGGTGGGAGCATAGGCTTGGCTGCCATCTTCAACTTCTCCAGTTCAGCCTCCTGGAGCCGCTTGGCCTTGGCACGGCGGTTCTGGAACCAGATCTTCACCTGGGTCTCGGTGAGGCTGAGTGAGCTGGAGAACTCGGCGCGCTCAGCAATGGACAGGTACTGCTTCTGCCGAAATTTCCTCTCAAGGGCCAGCAGCTGTGCTGTAGTGAAGGGTGTCCGGGGCTTCCTATTCGTCTTGTGCTTGCGCAGCGTGCAAGCCGGGGGGCTCAGCCGCCCTGCACCGAGAGGTGGCCAGAGGAGAGCGAGAAGAAGAGAGACACCTCGGTTAGCAGCACCCAAACCCACACATCCCACAGAGCCCCCACCCAACAACAGCTGGGGCGGAGAGAAAGGGGAAAATAAGATCCCTCTCAAAATGAAGTGGCCCAGGGCTGCCTGGAGCATGTTTCAGACCAATGTCTCCTACTCCAGCAAAGAAAGTGGGTGCTTTATTAAAGAATTAGTTTTTCCAAGACTCCCAGTACCAAAATTACTCACAGTGCTTTGTAACAAGAAACTGACTCCACGGAAAAATAAAGCGCAGGAGTCAGACACCCACACAACCCCTGCCTCATGCCTTCACGGCTCCTGGTTTATACAGAGAAGATGTAAACGAAGGGAGTGACCCTCCAAAAAACTAAAACAAAAGTTCAACTCTTTATATTGGATTAAGGGGAAAAAAAAAACCACACCCTACCAAAACCCAAAACAGGCTGTCTCCTCAGACTCGCACCCTCTTCATTAGGCCCCTGGGAACCGGATTAAGCATTACGGGCTCTGAATTCACAGTCAGCCTCTACCTACTACTCTTCACTGGTCTGCTCTTCTCTTTCTAAGGGTCCACAACTTCGACCTGCTCGGGGCTTACCTAGCAGCAATAACTTCTACTTTGCAATTTAAATAAATTAAACCGCACGTGCGACACTGTACACAAGACCTGTCGGGAAATGTGCCTTTCTCTAAGGGAGAGAAAAAGCAGCGCTGTTTGCAGCTCGGCTAAGAGCTCCATAGAGCCTCAGACCAAATTCAGCCCTTCTCCCGGGAGCCCGGGCGGGCAGGGAGCGGGATCCAGCCAAGGGCAGGCGGACCGCGCTGTCCGGCCCCGGGGCTCAGTGCAGCCGCTGGAGAGGATTAACGAGCTTTTCTGATCTCGGCACTCCCGCTGCTATTTTTATTATTTTAGATGTCTCCACAGTAAAGGAGGAAAACACTGGCAATTGCAGCTCTTCGGACTTCGGAGATGCAACACATGA